AAGCTTTCGCAAATGTCTTGGTACCGTTGGTTGGTCATCATTGCATTATCGTTTCCGATGTCTGCACACGTTGAATGAATGCCTGCAGGATTGAAATACAATCTTGAATAAGTTGACATGAACGGTGAAAAACCGCTTAGAGTGAAGTGACATTTTGATCAAAACTTCTGCATTAAGAGCTTTTGAATTAAATTTTGCTTATGTGATTTTCTTGCATAATTTTTTCTTTGTAGGAATAAGAAATAAAAATGAAAATTATTTCGGTTTCAAACCAAGCCCATGAGCAACCGCATAGCCCAGCAGTTAAGAAAGGCGACTATCAAGTTGGCATACCTGGCTTCAATACCTAGTGCGACAGACTGTATCTTAATTGTGGTTGATTTGTGTGGTCGGTCGACAAAGCCATAACACTTATCGACTGGACCAATCCCCATTTCTCCTTTCCCCCTTATTTCTGACCATCATTGTTTCACAGGAATAGTGGAAATTTCCTGATTGATTGGACGTAAGAAAAAAAAAAAAAAAATAGAGAGAGGAAAACAATAAACGTCAAACAGTGCAATGAAACCTGTATCTTGGCTAATTATTCTCAAATGTGTTATAGACGCACCATTGACCTTAACGTACTGTCTGGATGATAAGCTTAGCAATTCCATATCACTTTAATAAAAATTTAGTCAAAGACGTTGTTAAATTTTTCGTATTTTCGCCGACTTATATGGTTCTTATAAGAATCGTGTGAACAGCTAGAGTAAGTGACTGAGTGCTTGCAGTTTTCATTACATCTTCCAAAGCTGACATGAAATGTAAACAGCTTAAGATGACACACTGACATTCACATAAACGTCTACTAACGAATTTTCTACTATGGCGTTTTCTTTTTGCATTTAATTTTAACTTATATCAAATATTTTTCAATCCCTTTATTTATTTGCTTTTCGTACGGTAAGAATGCTGTTTATCATTATTGTTAAATGTAACTGCGTATATGTGTTTGTGCTTTATTTCTTTTTCTTTTTCATTTTTTTTTTTGTGATTTTTATTTATTTCCTATTTCAAGGAACGACGCTAGTAGATATGAGGTTGTGCATGTGTGTATGTGTGTGTGTTTGTGTGTGAGCACGTGACAAATAACTAATGTGATTTATTGCATACTTTACACTCTTACAAGTAAACAGACAAGCAGACAGTGAAAGGCATATATATATATATATATATATATATATGTATATATATATGCACAAAAGTAAGCACAAACACATGCACACGGGCACATGTAGACATATTTACCCATACGAATACCGTTTGCTATAAAAATAACTGAGGGATAATGTGAAATGCCATATACACTTTGCCATTTATAGAGGGGCACACGCATACATATACGTGTGCTTACGTTGTTCGTACACATAAATATACAATTTAAAGCAAACAAACACGTAAGATCGATTACAAAATGTTAAACTATTGGTTGTAAAAGCAAAGAATTTTATATATAAATATGTATATATATATATATATACATACATACATCTACACTAGCCTACACGTGTCGTTATATGTACATGCTTATGCAATTCTTGGTTGCTTTTTATTATATCCTTAAGGTTTTTTTATTTGTCTCTTTTTAGATTTTTTTTCCTTTTTTTTTTTGTTATTTGTTTTGTTCTCCTTTCTTTTTCCTTATGTATATAAACGTTGCTCATCTTCTTTGAAGCTATGTTTACAGTTAAACAATTTCACACATGTTTATATAATATACTCTTGAACTACTAGACTTGTATGCATGCTTGCGTTGTATAGTACCCCGTGGCGCTATCTTCTCTACTACGTTACGTTGCAATTTCGAATTGATTTAAAATGATTAAATGAACTACTTTTGAGAGGAAGAAATAAATAAAAATTAAAAAAGAATTTGTTGCCTTTTTGCGTAATTCTAACTAAAACTTAACCAAATGCTTGTTTAGTTAGAAACGGGTTTTTTTCACAGCTCGCAAGGCTTTCGAAATAAAGATCGCTTCAAGCCGTTAAGGAAAACGAAAACAAAATAAAAAAAGTTTTAAGCGTATGATTGTGGCTCAAGAACTCAAGATTTCTCTTCCGCAATCTGTAAATGAAATGTGCTCCTGAAGATTAATTTTTTGTGCTTAGGTTAATCAAACGACGTGACATAAATATAGAAAAGTTTGAGTCATTTTTCGTTGTTCATAACCTGAAACCAATAGCATAGTCACTTGTGTTCAATAGTACTGTTGTTCAACTACCATAAAATTTGTACTTGTCTTTGTCTGTCATCGTTCCTGTCATTTTGCATCAAATCCCATATCCTAAAGCAAAAGTAACAACAACACTTTCCAATTGTCCATTAAAAATCGGTTAGCTTTTTAAGGCTTAGAAAATGTAAGTTATCTTGTCTTCTATGTTTTGCTCTCCGATTTAATCAAATTGATTATATATATATATATATTTGTAGGTCCTTTGCCCAATTTCTACAAAATTCTTCCATTTTTTGTATACTTTTCTTATATATTTTCGTTTATACCATTGCACTTTACTCTGACCTTCTGAAGAGTAGATCCTAATAATATAGTCAAACTTTTCAAGTTGCGATATGTATGCCTAAAAGTCGGAATACCAAAATAGCAGAAAAAAGATAACAAGATCGGTTTTTAATAGTTGTTGGGTAAAAGCACATGGTTAGTTATGCATTCGTGTCACTGTGGTCAGAATAAAATCTTCTAGACAGTACTAGGAAATATTTTTCCCAAAGCTCAGATCAAAATCTAATGTACATACATTTTGTGCATTTTTGAGCTACGCAACTTCTCTAATGAATACAAAATTTTAAAAATTACCTAAACAATTGCTACATCACATGTGCCCATAACTTGTTCAGTTATATAAAGGAATTAATTATTCATCCAACAGTAGTAGTCACATTTAATATGATATAAGGGCAAAAATAATTGGAATAACGTTATGGCACATTCAGAGTAAACCAAAAAGCTTTTGAAGGAAAAAACTTAAATATAGTCTAATAGATATTAGTATAAATTAAATTTTTGCAAAAATTTGTACTATAACTGCAAACACAATTTCTATTGGGAAAGGGATATAACAGTTGTCGAAAGACTATAGCAAAATTTATTAACAACATCTTTATTGCGACCAATTTAGTAAGAAATGTTGAATCCCATACTAAGAAGCATGAATTTCCATTTTTCTTTTCTTTTTTTTTTTTGTAATCATCACCCTAGCATGGCATTCGCAATGCCCAGAAGATAGCTGCAGAGATTCTATAAAGTAAGTAGATTCTTAGTAAGCATTAAAATCGCAATTAATTTAAGCATATTCGCCTGTCCGTGTGTTGTAAATATTCTCCTACATTCCACTTATATGGGTAATTCTATAACATTTGCACAAGAAGTGCAAAAATTGGTCACTTCATCCCCCTGTTATCGAAATATTTTTTACCATTCTTCGGTAAAGGGTATATTCATATTGTCCAAACATTTGCGACGTCCTTCAGAAAACTCGCGAAGTATATGTATTCTTCGTCAGCTTCCAATTCTCGGTTTAAGCATGTCCGTCTGTCCATCTAGATATCTGTCCGCCTGTGTAATGTCGGCCACAAACATGAACAGATATCGACTTCAAATTTGGCGGAAACATTGAATATTGTACACAGATTGGTATGGGAAATGAGCCAAATCTGACGGAGGCCAACTTCTATAGTACTGCATAACCTGAGATTACCTTAGGTATGAAAATCAAAAAATCAAAAAGAAAAAAATTTATTTATTCTTCTCGTCATACTTATAAGCCACCAGACAAATAATGATAAAAATTTGCATATATGTCCTAAAATTCGTATCAAAATTGAAAAATCGCCGAGGCCCGTTCAGTAATGCATGCGTGCTCTTTAGAAGTGTCAAATGTGAAGTGAAGAGCCCATCTAACCTTACCTATCCTTCAGTTTGTCAACTTCTGTGGGTTTATGTGGCAAGTATTCTTCTAATCGTTTCAAACTTGACAAAAGCAATGGAGGTTGATGCAGGAAACTTCATGACAAAAGCTACAACATAATTTAAGAACATCTCTACACCGCTACAACACAAAATTAAAAACACCTCTGTTCTTGAGAATAAAAATATGGGTTTCCGCTCATTACTCATAAAACCTACAACAGACGTAGAGTTAAAAATTTTCACATCTATTTTGTGGGTAATCGTCCAATATTCATTGGAAAATGGAAAAAATCGGCCCATCAATAGCGTTTCCATATATAACCAAATTTCATTTTCAATGCTTTTTGTTTTTGTTTTAAGAAAAAGTTGATGATTATAAAAGATCCAGTCAGATTCCCTTTTAATATGCTTACCTGTTTTCTAAATAAATGTAGGAAGACCATTCCGTACTTGGTGAAGGCAATTACACTTTAAAAGAACCTTGGTTTCGTTTCAATAATTCGATGAAAAGGTGTGGCTTGTTGATCTCTTACCGAATTGATTCTAAAGATAAAACGAGTTTTCGTTAACGGTGTCAGGTAAAGCTCTTCATCTTTTGTCCTTTCATGTCTTGCTAATACAAAGTCATGCTTATACACTACTTTCGTTACAACAAACGAAATAGATTGCTAGGACCTAATGATGATTTTAAATCACGGTCGGGCATAACTTGTAAAACTTGTTGCAAAGCCAATGAAATTTTATAATGAAATAGTGGGAGACTTCCAGGCAAATTTTAAAGGTCAAGAGTAAAGGGGACTTCTTTGGCAAAGCCAGTGTAAGTAGTAAAATTTGTAAATGATCTTCTCAATGAGGATGAGAATGTATTTAAATAATGAAAAAATATTCTAAATAATCCTTAATATTAAAAATGAAAATTAAAAAAAATGTTTTCTATTTTTTTTTAAAATTTTTAAATTTTCATAAAATTTTTCATAAATATTTTTGGTTTTTTTTTTTTTTTTTTTTAAATTTTTAATTTTTCAAAAAATTTTTCATAAATATTTTTGGTTTTTTTTTTTTTTTGTAAATTGAAAGCTTTTCATTCATCTTGCATCTGCACATTTCCAATGGGGACAACACTTGGGATATGTTTTTGTTAGATCCACTGGAACAAATGTACAGTCTTTAGGGCTATAAGCGTTTGGGCAACTGGAACAATGTGAAAAAGTGTAAAAAATTTTATAAATTCTTAAACACTTTAATCCTCTTACTTTTCTATCTCGTATTCATCGTAACGATTCCCTACACATACCACTTGACTGCATTTGCCCGGAACAGTTTTAGCTTCACCCTTTTTTAAGACCAAACCATAAACCTCACAATCTAAATTTTTTTAAAAATTTTTTGCTTTTTTATAAAAAAATATTGAAATTTTCAAAAAGACATTTTCATTTTTTTACCGCCATAGCAAGTTTCTAGCTTAAACATTAATAATGTACTAATTAATAACAATAAGGTAACTAATTGCTTCATTTTTTGCAAAATAAAATTATATATATATATATATTTTTTTTTTATTTAGTTTTTTATTTTTTATAAAATTTAGATTAAAATTAAAGACTTTAAACGCTCGCGTATTAGTTCAAACTATGGAGGACTACTGCGAATTCTGAAGAATAAATAAGTAAAATGTCTTGTTTTGTTTTGACGATTGATGTCTAGATTAATGGGTTACGAAATGACAGCGTTTCGTAAAAAAAAAAAAACATAGAATTTTGTAAGAATCTGGAACATGCGATAACCTTAATAAAGTTTTAATTAATTTTTTTTCAATGCACTAGACCGATAAGCTGCTTCTAACGTCAGTATACGTCAGTATCGGTTTATTGTGAAGACTTAGTCATGCTGTTTTAAATGTAGCGAAGATCAGAACCAGAAATGTTGGGATTTCTGAAAATTCCAATAATTTCTTTACTTTTATTCAACTTTACGTTTATTAAATTTCTCATCCCTTTCGTAACATCCATATGCCCTTCTTATATATGTATATATATATATATAAATTGTCATCCGCGTAAAAGTTTAAACTAACTTTGCTGGCTTCGTTTCTCAAAAGCTGTATAAGTTAAAATATTTCAAATGATCTAGTTAGAGTAAAAATTGCGTAGCAGCTACAAACTCGAATCGTAAGTAACGTAACGTAACGTAACGTAACGTAAGCGGCCACCTGTTGGTGGAAATACTACAAAAGATAAATGTATTAAAAAAATTGTTATCCAACTTAAATATTGCTTTTAGGTTACTTTGATACGATGATTAGGATCATGGTTACGACAACATTTCCGTTCGCTGGAGCGGTTTGTAAAGTTATTCACTGTAGATTTTTCTCCCGTCTTCTTTTTTTGGGGTGGGGGAGGGTATGTGGCGATGGCCAGAAAGAAATGGAGCACAAGAGAGAGAGAAAGAGAGAGAGAGGGAATGGCGAAAGCTTAGTCCGTTCGTGTTACGCCTCTACTGACTAATCAGTCACTATAGCTACGAGTTGCTTCTATACAGAAGGGTCATCAAAGCTAAGAGGAAGTGTAAATCCGCCAATACCGAATCTTATCTGCTGGTTCACGTGCCAAACCATGTTATATAAAAAATCGATACTTTGGCTCGGTGTCAGATCTGATTAGATTGAACCCAACCAACGTAATACTTTTGGCAGCTCGTGAATAGGTTTTTTTAAAGTTGTTTCAGACAGACAGAAGAGTTATAGTTTTAAATATCTTGAAATGCTTGGCAGTAGTTTACACTCCTTTTCATTTCCTTCATTCGACTTTATTCGCCAATGACTTCTGTCTTAAGCTACATTTGGCTCAAAAATTTGTACAAACATTTATTAGGATCTTATGAAAATGTTTTCCATCGATAGTTAGGAATTTTGAGAGCTTTTAGCGCTATCAGTGTCGCTGATCTTTTAATAAATTCTAGTACGAGCCTGATCGCTATATACGGTACAGGTTCTTCCTTCGATAAATAGCGGATTTCGGTGATATTATAGTTACATTCCGTTCAAGTCTCATTGGTAAAAGGTTTCTGCTTGCAAAGCACTTTTGTTCAGCCAAATTTACCGAATCATGCCTTGCGACGCAGGTTAACACCTTTTCTAATTTGTGTCTTCATTTGTGAATTCTATCATCTGAAAAGTTTGCAAGTAACAGCCGCTCTTCCGAAATCGAACTCTTAGCGTATATATATATATATACGAGTGCAAGTGCTATGATATTCAAAAAAGTGAAAATTAAGCGAATAAAATAAATAAAACTTGCATTTATATTTTAGGATAAAGAGTATTTAAGATTCGCCTAACGAGTGAATTACAACTTTTCTGCTTAATGAAATTCAACTTAAGCGACTAAAAAAGCACGATTTAAAGCAACGTCCAAGCCGGATAATTAAAATCATTAAAATAAATATTTATGCACTTTTTAGGTGCCTTTAATGCAAATTAATATGTTTTTTTTTGTTTCGTTTTGTTGTCAGTTTTAGTTAATTAAAAACACAATTGTTTTCATCCATAAATTTAAGGGATTTATAAATAAATTTTGCAAAAAATATAAAACCAGTTTCGCTCTTGAGAAGAGAAAAAAAGTTTCTCAAATTTTAATGCAAGTAAAGCTTTTGTTAACAGAGAGTGAGAAAGCGAGGGAGAGGCAGAGAAGAAGATTTAAATGTTATAAAAGTTACCAAAGATCGTGAAAAAATTATTCCCAAAAATTGTAGAAAAAGTTTTGAAAAGAAATTGTGTTTTTTTTTTTCTCTGTGACATGTTAGATATGAAATGAGAAAGGATTCGTCTCAGTTCACTTTTCACTCAAATCGTTTTCTACAGCGTTTTCGAGTATATTTCATTTTTCGTTTCTTAATGTTGCACCACTACTACTACTACTCCTACTCTTACTTATCTACTGTTTGTTTACTCCTTCTTGCACTTCTTGGGCGGAAATAATAGGAAAGGTGGATAAAGGGGAAAGCGGAATGGGTAATACATAAAAAGAAGGCAGAAAGCTTTACATTCTTTCATCCTATCCCCGAAGAATGACTTTAAATTAAGAACAATTAGAACTTCATTCATGACTTATTTCGCAAGAGGAAGAAAAGGAAGAAACATAATAAAGCTGCTTACTACTTACTTCTACCTTTTCTTTTGTTATCACCAAACACTAAGAGGATTTTCTCTCTCTCTCTCTCTCTCTCTCTCCCCTATTCGCGTAACGCATTGGCGGTAAGAAAGAAGTGAGTAAAGAGAAGATAAGAAGGCCGCAACTTAATGGGTGTGCGCCCAATCGGTCAGAGCTATCTCTTTACCTACTTTCAAAATAGTTTCCTAAGTATTATTATTATTATTATTATTATTATTATTATTATTATAAATTTAGCCAGAGAATAAATTCTAAGTCTTAAAAGCACTAGCATCTAAGACTTTCGGCTTTTATTAAAAACTCTACCGCACTTGGGTTTGAAGCCACGACTTTTGAGTTGCTAGTCGAGACTCTTGCCTACTCCGCCACTCAGGCGGAGTTTTCTACGTAACTAATAATCAACTGACTCCTTTTTCACTAAAGAATCTCTCGCGCTTCAAGCAAACTAAACTAGAGTTCATTTTTCTTACATAATGACAGTTAACGATAATTCAGTGCTTAAAAGAAATGAAAGAAGAAATCTGAAATGATGAACGTAAGAGTTGCAATTCTTACCGTATGTCCATTATGTCATTAATCAGATTAGTTGAACTTAAGCTTGGTTAGACGAATTCCCATCAAAAACGAAATCAAAGCATTGAGAAAAGAAAAATTGATTAGAAAACAAAAAAAAAAAAAAAAAAATTCCCTCCCCTTGCCTAAGATGTAATAGCTTACATACGTAGCGAAATAAAAATGTGGAGTTTCATAAGCGAAAACCAAATACGCAATAATGCGTTTATTACAAATATTTAACGCATCTTATATGTAAAATTTTTTTACATGGCTTTTTCGCTCATATGCCTTTGGCAACATTATGTTCAAGAGAAATTTCTCTTTTTCAATTTATTGTAAAGTTTTCAAAAGCTTCAAAATTTAGTGGTCAGACAGGTATGTTTAAAATATTATGCGATTGATATTTAAAACGGATTTTTCGTTTATGAACACAATGATTGCGTTTCTCAAATACCGAGACGAGATTAGTGTAAACATAAACGTGTTACTGTTAACTTATTAGACGGAAAAATGCAATTATTTGTAAGTAATTTTTTTTTTTATTTTTTTCTGATAAAAATCTAATTAAAATAATATCAAGAAAAGATTTTCGTAACATTTTGCTTAACCTTGAGTTGGGCTGATGTCTCCCATATTGTGGGTAATGAACACGATCATCAACATCATCATCATCATCATCATCATTATGAGAGTACAACTTCACCGCCCGGACCACCGAATCCGTACGTGTTTAGTTATCAAGCTGGCCGAGCACCCGGACATGTCGATCGTCAACATACTGAAGTTTCCGACGGTACCGGTGTAGTGCGTGGTGCTTTTTCATATGTGGATCCCAAAAATCAGGTACGCACTGTGCAATACGTAGCCGATGAACATGGTTTTCATCCTCAACTAAGTCATGAATTGGAGGATAGTGAAGCGGTTAAAGCAGCTAAACAAAGACACTTTGACTTATATAATCGAATTGCGCAAGAGCATGCAGCTGGAGGTGTACCGGCGGCGGTAAGCTTTAAAAGAAAGCTCTCCTCATTCATAGTTTCAATTCGTGTAAAATTTTCGAATTTTTAAAAAAAAAAAAAATAGGTTTCACAAGCAGGACCTCAACAAAGCGAAGCAGTGATAAAAGCGACCAACAAACATTTGAGTTTATATGAACGTATAGCTGCTCAGCATGCTGCGATAGGAGCCCAACATGAGGCTGCCCGTTTGGCCTTTGAAGCGACTTCTGAGCATAGCATACAACCCGAAGATAATAGCGTTTATTATCAAAAACATTAAAAGGCTATTCAACACTATTTCAAAGGAAGCGAATCAATCCTAAGTTTTAGTTAATTGAAATTGTTCAAAAACTCTTTCATTCATGCTCTTTTTGTGTGTTATTTAAAATAAATGAATTCAACGGCCTTCTGCATATAATGTTTCTATTTTACTTTCGTGGAAGGTTTGTGCATTGCCCGCATTCTTTCCTCCTGCATTTCATTTTCATATCAAACGATTTTCCGCAGTTTAAAATATTCATTATTCACTTCGTCATCTATTTTGAGTTCTATGCCTTCTTCCTTGTACAATGTCAACGTTACCGTTAGCGTTTCGTTGTCGTTTCTTTTTTCATTCCTGACATTAAATGTCGGACATTTTTGGTTTATATCTGTCCTGCCACTAATCATGCCGTCATTTCGTTAATAGTCGCCATAAGTAGGTTTTGTTTAATAAAATTTCAACTGACATTTATAATTAATATTGTGTCATCTCCTTTGTCTTTTTTCTTCTTCTTCTTCTTCTTTTTCATTTTGTTACATCTATTCATGGCATTCTCTCTTCATCCGTCGCTATTGTTTTTCTAGTTTTCATAAATTCTTAGTTGCATGCTTAGCTGTGTATATGCTGCTTACTAACTAACTAACTAACTAACCTTGCGTTATATGTTCGCATTGCTGTGGCTTCAGTTTAGTGCACTTCTTCTTTTGGCATCATTTCTCTCGTGAAGGTCGTTGAGTGTATTTATTACTGGTGTCTGTTGCGCTCTTCTCTTCTTTTGTTTGTTATTTTAGAAAAATGCAAAAAAAAAAAAAAAAACAACTCTAAGAAATGAAATTTTTGTTTATAGAACAGAGAAAGGTCATTCATTTAAGTCTGGCGTACATATTTGTTTTTGTTGTTCTACTAGTTTCGTTTAACATATCCGTCGGGCTTAACTTGAACTTGTCATTTTAATAATAAATATGATAGGAATTAAAAATTCATAATTCAATGAATTGATTTTCGACTCGAGGTGAGAAGAAGATACATTAGTGAACGAAAAAGCTTTTAATCACAACAAGTCCGATTAGCGAATGAATTTAAAATCTTAATCATTATTATTAGATAAGAAATCTATATTTGTACGCAGAGCGTAACTTGAATGCTTTTGATTTAAACAAATTTTCAAAAATCACTTTTTTTTTTTTTGTTTTTTTTGATTATTATTATTATTTATAAGACGATCGGCTAAATGTCTACATACACTTTACTCTGAACAAACGTTCAAACGTGCTTCTCGTTCTGCAAGTTAAATTACATACGCAATGTACAGAATACGAACGATTTTGTTTTAACGAATTTTTTTTTTTTTTTTCTGGTTTCGTTTCAAGGAAATAGAAGAGTAGCAATATTTATTTATGTGTCATGTACCACTTGTGATACAGGGCTATATAAAGTTTATGCGTACGTAGACAACGTCCAGAAGAACTTGCGATGCACTTGTACTTTATTATGCCGATATATTCATAATCATTTTCAGAATCGGTCTGCACTTTGCTGCATGTCTGCCTGTCTGTCTGTCTGTACGTCCGCGTTTTAATGTTTAGTCTATAGATCGCAATTTTTGAAATATTTCGACGAATAACGCCTTACTTTGAAAATTTCTTATATGAATAATTCTAGTGTGATAGTGTAGGGTATTTAATGGTGGGCCATCCCTCGTTATAATGTTGTTACTTAATAGTAGCTTTCTTTATGTGCCTTTGTGTCCAGCGGTGAAAATCTATTTTAAATTCAGTTTGACACACTTAATTCCCAGTGGCAGTGGATTATGAAGCCATGCAGTCATTTTGTTCGTGATAAACGCAGTCGTCGTAAACAGTTAGCGGATTGTCTAATAAACGCCTAAGCAAAAGCGAGTAAGCTTTTTTCTTTTCCTTGTTGGCCAATAGCGGGATTTCTGCGGTGGCTGTACTAGATCCAAATCGCTAGATTAGCGCTTGCTAGTGTGGAATTGTATTGCAAGCTTGCTTCACTCCTAGAAAGGCAGAGGTGTTTCGTTCAACTTGTTCCTCTTTGGCACTCCGCGAGTAATCAATTTTGACGCGGTGACCGGCGTCTTCTCACTCCATGTGCCATCGGATGCCATTTGGTCACGTCTTCATGGCAGCCACCCACTTCTAGTGTCAGCTGCCCATCTACGTGTAGTTTAAGTAACCGCTTTGTCACTTTTAAGTTTGATATACGCGCTTACCTACAAACTCCTGACAAACAATATAAATGCCAGAAAATCCGTGCGTAGTGTAAATATTTCCAGCTAATGGCGGTGAATGCAAGCAGCAGATGGGCCTTGTTGAGGATTCATAGAATGAAAAATGTTGTTTTAGACTTGGCTTAAGCATAACCCAAAAACTTTGTCAGACCTTTTGACGCTGTCTGACACAACGTACTTATCCTTAAGACGACTATTGCTAATATATCGGTGTATTTGTTGACGATCATTAGAAGTTTTTTTAACAAACCGTCAATATTTGTATCAATATGAATAAGCAGCCTTATCATTTGCATGATATTCGGGTCGGTGTTCCTCAGGGTTTGCTGTTGGGACTGTTACTGCATATGTGATATCATTCAGATGTTCGAAAAATTCGATCATATTGCAATCTTCTTTTCGGCCCTTCATGCTCGGGACATGTTGTAGAATTTACATAATTGTTCCAACGATATTTCTGAATCCTGCCAATCTTCAAACATTTGCAAGAAAAAGGTTTAAGCGGAGACATTCAGTGTATGTAGACTATCAGATATTTGAGTGTTACTTTAGATAAAAATGTACTTTCAACGCATCCTGAATGCTGTTCAGTTTTGTTCAAAGGACAAAAACTCTCTATTAAAAGTGTTTATTCGGTATTATATACATAATAGAAAATTGGTACTAAATCTCATCTAAGACGAATTCGTGCAAGGGCTTTGTGAAGAATATGTTCTCGAGGCCACATCAACAAACTGTAAGGAGTACATGGCATCAAGTACCATGATAAAGCTGTCTATGAATCTAGTATGTGTCCAAATCAGATCGGCACGTAATTATTTTATAAATGAAAGGTTTGGGAACCGTTGTTCTATGTTACTTAATCATTATTTGGCTAATTTCGAGTAATATTCGAGTAGCGTGACTTGAAAATTTGGAGCCCTTTCTTCTACCCTTCATCGAAACATGAAAAGGTATCTTCAATTTGTCAAAAGATTTACAACGTCCAGAAAAAAAGCTTCAGAAACCTCAAAAAGTATGTATACTGCTGATCAGAATGAAAATTAGAATCGATTCTAGCATGTCCGTCTGTCCGTCCGAATTATATTTCTTGTCAACATTTTCCTGGTCACAAAAAAAAAAGTTACCAACTTCGAATTGCGTACAAAGGTAGGACCTTCTCACATGCAGGTTGGTATTGAAAATGGGCCAAATCGGTCGACGGAATTGCCTACAACACCATGAAATGAAGACTTGTGCTTTTCAAAGGTAATGATATGTTTTCTACTTAAAACCCATAAGCTACAGTGGATAAAAACACAACAATTTGCACGTATGTGTGATGCTGTAGCATCTGTACAAAAACCGGAAATATTGGCCACGCCTACTTAATACTACAATTACAAAAATTTTTTTTTTTTTCGATACCATTATATTGTGCAGAGGTCAACTTGAAAAGCTCTATTAAGTATATAAATTTTTGGCCTCAATAAAATTCCTAAACACGCTTGCCTTTCGTCTGCTTGTCTGCGCAACTATGTAGTATCAGTGATAAACAATATCTCGCTTGCGAAAATGAAGGCAGAGCTTTCGGATTCGCAAAAGAATTTGAAAATGGTTTGAATCGACCAAATGGTTCGCCTACAATGGCCGCACGCCTGTGAACATCTACGCTTTCCCTGTTTCTTGTTTGTTATACATAAAGAACCACACATACCCCATATAAATTTTCCTTTTTTTTTAAAGTCTTTTTAGAATAAAGATGATGAGTACTAAAGAGTCGATCACGATTGAATATAATTTTCTTACTTGTCCCTTTTGATTGCTTTACATTATTGCCCATCTTATTGCATTTTGATTATTTTTACAAAATTTTTCTTTCTTATTTATTTCTTCTTTTTCCTTCTCAGCTTTTTTTAAAGTATTCCTAGTTATCTTTCAGATTTTACGATTTTGTTGGCTTATCTTTTCTGAGGACAGAATGTTTAAATACAAATAAAGAAATAATATAAAAAGTTCATGTAGTGAGTTTTACTCCTGAATGATACGAAAAAAAAAAAACATATACATATGTAGAAGTGAATGCCTCGATAATTGCATTTGCAACCAATACGTCCAAAGTAATTTGTTATTACTCTTCTATGAAACATGGAAATGAAGTCATGCTGTGTCAAAAATTCTTATCATAAACGTAGAAGGCCATTTAAGAGGGATATGAAATAGTTTCTCTACCATATCAAGTGCACAAAGTTCAATAATAAGTTAATTAAATGACATGAAAATATGATTCGAAAATTTTTGCAAAAAAAATGTATTTAAATGGAAACGTAAATGTGTTACGGTGACCTATTTATTTACAAATGCAATTCAGCTATAAATAAAATAGAGCGTTAAAAATAAATTTTAAGTGGAACAGTACGACTTAACTCGTTTAAATAATAACAAATAAGAAATTTATATTCCACTGTAACCGAATCTTTTATAGCCATCGCGATGATCGTAAAAGAGACCAAAAAAAAAAAAAAAAGGAAAGATTAAATTTCTGTATTTTACATTATTGGGAAGGCGTGGTTAATTTTCTTTATTTTTGTGAAATAAAAGTGAAAAAAAGTTCATATTGTGTGTGTGTGTGTGTGTGTGTGTGTGTGTGTTGCAGGTTTGTACGTAACGAGCGAAATATACGGAAGGTAAAGATATTTCCACTTTATGTTGCATTGCAAACCCCTGGTGGATCCTTTTCAACTTGTTTTACAAACTCGAAGACATTGTCTTGGATTCGCGGACATGCATAAATCGATTTGTTGTTGATCAAAAATATGTACACTTTATGGGATCGCTGGGGCTTTTCATTGAATGTTGGAAACGTTTCGACAGTATGGATATAACCCTCATCCTGCGGTGATGGGTGTAAAAGACATATATACAT